AATATAAATTTTGTACTTTGCATCAATTATAAGTTAATTCATATTATTAATGCTCTGGAAGCGGATTTCTTAAAGAAAATGTTTCAGGAACATAATTCTTAAAGAAAATGCTTCAGAAGCGTATTTCTTAAAGAAAAATGCTCTGAAAATGTAATTCTTATAGAAAAATGCTTCAGTAGCGTATTTCTTAAAGAAAAATGTTTCAGAAGCATAATTCTTATAGAAAACGCTCTAAAAGCGTAATTCCTAAAGAAAAACATTTCAGAAGCATAATTCTTAAAGAAAAACGCTCTGAAAGAAAATTTCCTAAAAAAAACGCTCCAAAGCGTAATTCTAAAGAAAAACGTTCTGAAGCGCAATTCTTAAAGAAAAACGTTTTAGAGCATAATTTTTAAAGAAAAAATGCTTTGAAAGCATAATTCTTAAAAAAAAAATGCTCTGAAAGTGTAATTCTTAAAGAAAAATGCTCTGAAAGTGTAATTCTTAAAGAAAAAACATTCCAGAAGCATAATTCTTAAAGAAAAAACACTCTGAAAGCATAATTCTTAAAAAAAACGCTTCTAAAGCAAAATTCTTAAAGAAAATGCTCCAGAGCGTATTCTAAAAGAAAACACTCCTGGAGTGAAATTCTTAAAGAACAATGCTCTGAAAGTGAATTTCTTAAAGAACAACGCTTTAGGAACGTAATTCTTAAAGAATTACGCTTTAAAAACGTAATTCTTAAAGAAAAATGTTCTGAAAGCATTTTCGCTTCAAAAGAATCGATTTGGTATCATTTCTCTTGAAGGAAACTATTTCAGAAACGATTCTTTTGAAGGAAATCGCTTTCCAGAACTTTTCAATTACTCTGAAATTTTTTTTCAGATTTTTGTTAATAATGTAAACCATATAAGCCAGCTTGTTTGGCTCACGAGCCAGCTCAGCTTGCTACATTTTGAACTCGAGCTGAGCTAGCTCGTGAGCTGAAATAATTCAGTTCAGCTCGAGCTGAACTAGCTCGTGAGCTGAAATAATTCAGTTCAGCTCGAGCCGATGGTGAGCCGGCTCGAGCTGGCTCATGCAGAGCTTTAAGCATTATACATTTTAGGATTTGTAGAATATATAGCAGTTTTTAATAAATATTTGGATGCATTTTTAAAAAGAACCTAAGAATAGATTGTAATATATAATATTTAGTAAATTATTTGATTTAATAAATCTTTAAAAAAATTATTACACACCCACCACCATAAGTCTTTTGATGACTTTGCCAAACGTAATACTTGATCATTAATTTCAACCAATGTGGTTGGATTTTTTTCACCAATAATTAGTGCGGCATTAGCAGCTTGTTCAACTTTTATATAATTTGAAACATCATATCAATACTTTGACAATCAAAAATAATTTGATCTAATAAAAAAAATTTAATATTTATATAGAAATATAAAAAATTGATAATATATTTTAAATACCTTTTTTATTGTTGTGGTTTTTTGATTCTCATCCCCTTCTTTATCTATATTATAAATATCAATATCTGAGATATTATGAGTAAGTGAAGCATTATTGAAAAATGATAATATATTATTTAGATCTTCATTTTCAATATTCAACGAAACATTTTTATTAGATTCAGTATTCGAAGGTAAGTTTTTTTCTATTAAAATATTTTTATGATTTGATTCTATAAAAATTATTTTATATAGGTAGAACTTATTTAATTAATAAATTATTAAAACCATATCATTATCAATATAAATTTCTTATTTACTTACTTTTAATGCTTGGTATTAATTTGATTTTTTTTGATTTTTTTTAAAGAGTCGTGATTTATCTTGAATTTTATTAGTTGCACGATTAAAACCCATTTTATATTTATTTTCTTTAATATTTATCCTATAAATTTATTTAAGTAAAGTAAAAAATATTTTTCGTTAAAGTTGAGCGTGAGAATTTTTTTAAAAAAAAAAACTTTAAAATAGCAATGATGCAATATGATATCATATATATATATACTAGCTTAATAAATAATAGTTAATTTATAAAAGTATAAAAATAAAATAAACTACAATGGTAATATGATGTGATATATATATAAAAATATGTTAGCTTAATAATTTTTTTTATTTTTTCTTTCGCTCATTTTAAATTTTTTAAAATCTCTAATAATTATACAAATAAATAAGAAAAAAATATAAGTAAATTTAATCTTATAAAATGGATTTTGGGCTGTTCTATCATATTTAATTTTTTATAAATCAGTTTTGTCTAACAACTGACTATATACATGATAAATATACTGTTCAATGAATAACGTATAAATGAACATATATTATGGACTTCTACGTTAATCTTAAGTCAAAATTTTAATAGTTACCTTATGATTTTGACTAAAAACAGTCACTGGACTGCTTGGAAAGTTAGCGAAATTGTATTCCCAAGATAAGTTGGAATATTGTCTTACCTGCGACACTTCACTCAAGTTCGAGGCCAAAACCATTTGTCTATTGATCGTTCGACATAAACTTTGAAGTAGCCTTTTGTGTGACAATTCAAAAAAAAAAGTGATGTAATATAATTTAATATAGTATGATTACTGTCATATATCACGTGTTAGAGTAAGTTATTTATTTATATTGTACCTACGTTTTCAATTTTGTAACTCTGTAACTCTGATGGGTAACAATCTTTCCAAAAGTATCCGAATGTAGGTTAAAACTGGTAAAATTTCCATCTCGCCATTTTTTTGTACTCATTTCTATTTTTTTCTAGTCCTAGTCCGTACGAAGGCAACGAAGCTAGATAACATAAGAGGAAAATGGGCGAGACAACTGATAAAGGATTTCATAGAACCCTTCAGGTATTTTATTTTTATTCTTTACACTATTTCGAAATTATAGGAATAGCCAACGAAAAATTTTTTATGTAGGAATCATCAAATTTATA